GGGGGGGGGGGGGGGGGGGGGGGGGGGGGGGGGGGGGGGGGGGGGGGTGCGGGATCGGGGATGGGTTGGAATGGGATGAACTTGAGCGTCCCTCGAAACCTAAAACCTTCGGGAACGGAAACATCCGTGCTCAATGAGCGGCGGCGGTGCTCGGGAGAATCTAAACAGGAGAAAATCCTGACCACCACGACCGCCACCGCGACGGGATGTGGAGGCGGATCCTCCTCGTGCCTGCCCCTGGGGCGGAGCCGAGTTCCGCCTTCCGTGCCCGGGGCCGCCTCTCTCCGTTACCAAACCTTATCAAAGAGCGCTGCCAGCGCTCGCTGTGCCCGGGCTCCGTCCTGCCAGGGCAGGGGATGCCGGGGACAATCCTGAGCCCCCTCAGGGCTGATTTTTGTCACCTCAGTTCCCTCAGTGCCCGCTCTCAGGGTCCCCTCAGTGCCTGCCGTGGGTTTCCTTGTCCTTCTGGAACCATCCCAGAACTCACCCTGTGTCTCTGGCACTGCATGTTTATACCCAGCCCTGTATTTCTATTCTCATTGAACCGTTTCTGTATTGCCTGGACAGCTGTGCCCGGCAGCGCCCTCCTGAGCCCGGAGCAGCCCGGATCTCTCATCATGGACCGTTCAACCTGCCGTCGTCATTGTCAAACTGTGCCCGAGGCTGAACTCCAAAAGGCTTTCTCAGCACTGCTGATGTCCCCTGAGCCAGGTGCTCTTTGTGCCAGGCTGAGACATTCCAGCTGTGAACTGGAGGAGAGTGAATTGTGCTCCGTTCATGGGGCTGTGAAGGAGCTCCTGTGTCCCCAGAATGGATCAGCTGTGGGACTCACACACAGAAACACTCTGAAAGGATCTCTGGGTGAGTGCAGGGCCAGCCCTGCAGGGAGGGGACAGTGTCACCCAGAGCACAGGGCTGGCACGGCTGGGGATGTTCCCATGGCTATGGAAAGGGGTTTCTGGTATTGGGCAGTTCTCTTGTGTGCAATGTCCCTAATTGTCCCCTGTTCCTATGCCTGGCGGTGTCCCTGTCCCTGTTTGTCCCCTGTCCCTGGTCTCTCCTGCTGCCAGCTGAGTGAGGGGCTCACGGGTTGGGGGGTCCCTCCTGCTCAGGACAGCCCTGTCCTCACGGTCAGCGACTCTGTCCTGCTTTTGCAGCTGCAGTCGAGTGGATCAGATCCCATCCCAAAATCACGCTGGGGGTGCTGATTCTGCTCCTGCTCCTGGTCCTGGCTTTGGGTGTGTCCTTGGCTGTTGTGTCAGGTAAGGGAGGGGCAGCTGCCTCAGCCCCTGGGGCAGAGCGGGGTCCCTGCTCCGTGTGGAGGGGAATCCTCAGAGCTTCTCAATTTTCTTCTGCAGGGAGAACACAAACAGAAAATCCTGGTACCCCTGGCACTCCTGTGCTGCTGGCCTGTCCCCATGGCTGGGTCGGGCACCGCGGGATCTGCTACTTCCTCTCGAGGGATCAGCTCAGCTGGGATCAGGCTCAGGCTCGGTGCTCYGAGCTCGGGGCCTCCCTGGCTGTGCTCAAGGACTGGGAAATGGTGAGAGAGGAGATTTGGGATGTGTGGGGCGGCCAAGGGAAGCCTGGGGGTCTCCTGGGCCGGGGGTGCAGCTCCCAGTGGCGGCTCCTCTCTCCTTCCCATAGGCTCCTCTTCCCTCACAGCGCAAAGGTCGATTATTGGCTCGGGCTGCGCAGACGGGGCCAGGAGCTGCAGTGGGGGGACGGATGCCTGAGAGAGAGTGGAGGTCTCTGAAGGAAGCGCTGTTGAATCCCTCACGGAAGGAAGGCCCGGCCTGGTCCGGCCCTGAGGCGCTCCGGCCCCGTCAGCGGCACGGCCGGATCGTGGCAGGGGCAGGACCGGGAGCAGGAGCGGGAGCGGGGCGGCGGCGGGGGCTGAATCCCGGCAGGGGAAAAGAGAAGGAGAAGAAGGAGAAAGATCCGGGGCCGCCTGCGGTGTCCGATAGTGGGGAGTGGCGGGGAGAGCTCGGGGAGCGGTGGCGGGCGGGGCCCTTTGAGCTGCCCCGAGGGGTTTGTGCCGCCCCGGGTCCCTGAAGGTGCCGCTAGGCGGGAGGGGCGAGGTGGGGACGAAAGAAAAGATGAAAAATAGAATAAACTKTATTAAAATGAGCCGGCTCAAGGCGCAGCGTCGCCCCCACCAGGGCACTCAAGGAGCTGCTCCGCGGGACGGGAGAGATGCGAGTGCAATAAAAGATAAAGAACTAAATAAAAAATAAAATAAATAATCTAAAAGCTGCACCGAGGGGTGTCGGCGGCCCCGTGTCACTGAAGGAGCCGCAGAACCCGCTGAGCTCAGAAACCGGGGAAAATCGCTCCATCTCGGGCACTAAAAAGCCTTTCCAGAAATGTTTTATGCCGGGACGCTCCCGGCGAGCAGCGGGGTGTCA